CTGCACTCCAGATTTACAATCCAACCTGATTGTAACAGAGTTTTGGGTCCATAAAGTTAGTCCTTATGTTACTCATCGTCATCACTCAGAGGATATAGTTCAAGATCCTGGTCCTCACCTTCAAAGCCATCCACGGCTTGCTCCTCCATACCTCTGTGACCATTTAACCCCCTACCAACCTGTCCACTCCCCCCGCTCAGCGGACTTCAGCCTGCTTCACGTCTCCCGCCTTGCCTGCCCCATCATTGGTGGGCAGATCATCAGCCTCTCAGCCTCCCCTCTGAAGCTCCATCCCACAGTTCCTCAGCCTTGCCTCCTTCAAGATCCGTCTCAAAACCCTCCTCTTTGACCGGCCTTCGGTCACCCTCCTACTTGTAAACTCCCCACTCTTCACCCCTCCTGATCCCAACCAGCTCGGGTGCAGATCCCTGACTGTCCAGCGCCTTGGGGCGCCCGCTTGACGTGAAAGGCGCTATGCAAATATAATTTGTTGTTGTTATAACTGGTCTGTGAAACAAATGGTCGCACTGAACCATCAAAATTTACTGTTTGTTTTGCTGCCTGAGCCCCCTCCAAAAAACAGCTCTTTCAATTTCTGATTACAGCACAAAAGTTGTACGAATGTTTTGAAATGTTTGGTCAAACTTAGCTTTCAATGAAGACTTGCTTTGATTACCAAAAATAAAACTGGGCTAGTCGCATTCATTCCTCTGTTCAGAACAGCGCATGTGCCTGGGCAGAGCAAACATACTGAGGCACGAGACCATTGGCAATTGCGTAGTTCAGCCGTCTGTCTATGTCTGCACTGCTGTACACATGCACTCAGCCTGAAATTACAGCCTTTGTGTGAGGGAGAGAGCATTTTTATCCAGTCTTGTTTTCAGCCCAGGAGGAAGAAGTGTTCTTTGGGTTGTGTGCAAATTGGCTGACAATTTATATGCTAAACTAGACAGCAATTCTCTATGACTTGCTTGCAAGAGGCCTCTAGGTTATAGACCCATTATTATTAGTATTTACATAAATCCTACTAATAAAACAGGAGTCCTGTAGTTTAGTGGTTAGAGCACTTACTCGCAATTGAGAGGACCTGGTTCAATTCCCGGGCAGGGCGAAACTTTGGGCAAGTTTCCTTACTCCATTTGCGTCGGTTTACCTAGCAATAAGTAGAAACGCTGTTGTTCGTCGATTGGCGCTATATCAAATGCAAGGATTATTATTATTGCCATCACATTTGCAACCTACCCTTCCTTGCCAAAGTCCTGGAACACATCGTTGCAGGTCAACTTCGATCACACCTCTCCCTCCTCGAGCCCCTGCAGTCTATTTTTCACCCTGCCTGCAGCTCCAGCAGACTGAAATGCCTCTTTAATGGGGTTGAATGGCCTACTCCCGTTCCTATTTGATAACGCGCCTTATCGCATCGTTAAGACAGAAAATACTGTATAGTGGATTAACTGTATATTTTGTGGGTGAAACATGGCAGCCAATTTTCAACTAAATTTCTCAAAGCTTCTGTACAACTTAAGTTGCTTTCTTTGGCGAATCAAATGGTGAAAGAATGAGTTTAGTCATGCGATGAACCAGTGGCTGTTGCACCTGAATTTTGTTGAAGTAAAGAGTAGTGTTGTTGTAACTGAACAGTGGTTTTGATGAGGAAATGTTTTCTGAAATTATGACGTGGAAGAAAATGTTTTGACCCTTGGTCTGACATTCTGTTGGTGGAAAGTTTGAGCTTGCATCTTATGATGCCGGAACAAAGAATCGGGTTTGCAATATCTTTGGTTGGTCGTCCAACTAGCCTCTGGGTCAGACAGTTGTGGTTGCAACTCTGCATTGAGAATTGAGCTCCTAATTTAGAATGACACTGCAGTGCAGTGTTCAGAGAGCACTGTATTGTTTGAGATGGTGTCCTACAGATCAGTCGTTAAACCAAGCATTGAAAATGTTACTGGACTTGTGGATTTGTGCCCTTCAAAAAAAANTGAGCTTGGAATGTGTATTTTTGGCCAGCCGGGTGTCTGACACGTGCGGAAACCCATCACCGTGCTTAAGAGTGAGTATTCAAACCAAACTGAGAATTCCATGCATCCCACCTACACATGGAAATCCCAGAGAGAGATCGTTGGAATGGAATGTGCACTCTCTCCCCCGCTGGCGGGACACAACAGCTCAGCTAATTCCGGAAAGTATGAGATGCAGGTGAGCAAGAGCCAAGGCTTGGCGACTCCAGAGTGTGCAGCTTGGAAGGTCAGCGAGTGCCATTTGAGTGGAGAAAGGCTTTTGCTGGGGGCAGATATCAATCCATGCAACTCATCCCATTGTGTACACGTGTCAGACTATTATGAACTGAGAAGTTGTTGTGCCCAATGCATTTCCTTTTTATTGCTTTTTCAAAAATATCTGAACCAACAAAGCAATCAGGCTTGTATATTGAATAGCCCTCTGTGCCAGCGCTGCACTTAAATAACCCGAGTGAGTTTGAGGGCATCTATCTCGTCTGTTGTTGAGCTGTCAGAAATTTATGTTGCAGCTTTTCCCTCTGGCTTTCAGAAGCAATTCTTTGTCTGGGTAATGCATTTATTTCCCTATCATTATTCGCCCATGTATAACTTGGTTGTTGTATCTTTTGCTAGCAGTCTTGCTCTTAATTTTTTTAAAAAGAGCTGTTGAAAGCTGAAAGGGGTGAATTGAGGTGGAGGGATTTAGGAAGAAAGTTCCAGAGGGTTGGGACAAAGTGCCTGAAAGCTTGCCTGCAAATTGTAGAGCAAACCAGAGTTGGTGGAGCAAAGGGAGTGTCTGGGGTATAGGGTCACAGGTGATCACAGTGGGAGGTGAGGCAAGGCTGTAGAGGTACGAGTCCTGTAGCACAGTGGTTAGAGCACTCGCCTCACAAGCGAGAGACCTGGGTTTGATTCCAGGCAGGGCAAAACCTTGGGCAAGTTTCCTTACTTCACACACCTCATAATAATCCCTCAAGAAAAAACCAATAATAAATTGGTTACTCAATCCACGACTGTTTGTGAGACACTGCTGTGCCCAATTGGCTGCTGCGTTTTGCCCACAACTATACAGTTATTCACTTAACAATCTATTCTGTGAAACGCTTTGAGACGTCTAGAAGACATGAAAAGGCGCTATATCAAATGCAAGGATTATTATTATGAGGTGAGGGCAAAGATCATTATGTTCGTCTGTTTTTGCAATGTTTTTTGTCTCTGGTCAGCTAAGCATGCAGAAACATTGAGCACACTTTATGGCAGCTCGGCTTCAAGTAGACTTAACTTCCCTTCCCTAGTGAAGATAGTCACTAGTTGGTCCATAGGAAGTGGGACCAGTAGAGCTGGGTGAGATTGGGGAAATGGGCATCAGAGCTTTGTGCAAAACATAGCAGCAGGAGTAGGCCATTCAACCCCTCGAGCCTGTTCCGCTATTCTATTGGACCATGGCTAATCTGTAACCCAACTCCATTTACCCGCCATATCCCTTGATGCCCTCACCTAACAAAAATCTCAGTCTAAAATTTGTATTGACCCGGCATCTACAGCTTTTTGGGGGAGAGAGTTCTAGATTTCCTCTACTCTTTTGCGTGAAAAAATGCTTCCTAATTTCACCCTAAATGGCCTCGCTCTAATTTTAAGATTATGCCCACTTGTTTGCCCACACACATACAGTCGATTCACTTTCCAGTATATTTTGTGAAGTGCTTTGAGACATCTGGAAGATGTGAAAAGCACTATGTCAAATGCAAGGAATATTATTACTATTATTATGGATTTCCCCACCAGAGGAAATAGTTTCTCTGTAGCTACCATATCAAAGCCCTTTTAAACTCCTAAATCAGATCGCCCTCAACCTTCTAAACTCAAGGAATACACACCAAATTTATGCAACCTGGCCTCATATCATGTGGGGCAGAATGAGGATGTAGAGTTCTCAATAATCTGGAGTTTGTGGAAGGTAGAGCTGGTGAGCAGAGTGATGCGTTACAAATAATAAAAATTTCCCTTATGGTGTCAAAACATCTCAAAGTTTGACAGTAAATACCGTCAAGTGTTGGGGCTGTTTGTGGGCACAGCTGGTAACCATTTTACTAATGTCCCACAACCCAAAACAGTAAACAGTCAATCTGGAGAGAAACCCGTTTTCCAATAGTGTTGTGAAGAAACATGAAAACAGCAGACCTACAAAATACAGTCACCCCATTTCACAGAAATTATAATACAAATATTATTTATATAGCGCCTTTCACATCAGGAGGACGCCCCAAAGTGCTTAACAGGCCAATCTGGACACCTGTTACCTCCAAATTGCTTTGAAACATTGAAGGTCTTGGACTAAACCAAGGATGATTATTATAGCCTGTTATTACAGTATTACCAGGTCGCGGTTCAATACATAGCATACTAAATTAAGATGAACTTGAATTCAAACTTAAAAAGAACTTTTTTTTTTAATACGCATACCCTTTAAAGTACCTTTGCGTTCCAACCTGGTCAGGTTAAGGACTGTTTTTGTTTCTATCTCGAGCAGTGATGAAATCTGTTGCTAATTTAGTCATGGATGGATTAAGTATTGGTGTTTACCGCATAGACATTTTGAGGACGTCCACTTAAAACTGTGAAGAGTTGTGACCTTGACTGGCCAAATACAAAAGTCCGTGGTTGATTATAGCTCCTTTCACAGGAGCTATTCTGAAGTGTAGTGACAGCAACCTGTTCAGGTGGACTTTAAAAATATCTTGACATTAATGGAAGGAGGGGGAAAAAAAATTTGGTGGTTACTCAATCCATGACTGTTTGTGGGACACTGCTGTGCAACAATTGGCTGCTGTGTTTCGTCCACAAATTATACAGTCAATTCACTTTACAGTGTATCCTGTGAAGCGCTTTGAGACGTCTCAAAGATGTGATAAGTAAGGCCCTGTATTAAATGCAAGGATTATTATTATTACAACATTAGTTTGGCAAATCACTAAAGAATATCCCTTTTTGCTCCACCAGGTCAACCAACGCAATGTTCCTGGAATCGACAGCGCGTACCTGGCGATGGATACAGAGGAAGGGGTGGAGGTTGTTTGGAATGAAGTTCAATTCTCGGAACGAAAAAACTTTAAACTACAAGAGGTGAGTAGGAGATCTCAAGTGTTGAAATACAGAAGCTGCTACCAATGTTCTCGATGGGATTGGCTACTGACTGGAGGAGATGAACCCAGTACCGAGTGCTCCCCTGAGGTCCACCATCAACTCGATATCAACCAGCCCTGAATAATCCAGGATTCAAGTTAAAATCGATCTTATTATTAAGATTACGGTGGTTCTTGCTGGTCTTTTTTGACTCAATGTTGCAATGATATTTTATTGTCAGTTTTGTCAGTTAAACCTGAAATTGATTAACAAACTTTAACCACCCTCTCTCTCTCTCAAAATTCTCTTAGTTTACAGCCTCCATCTCTCTCTCTCCCCCCCCCCCCCCAACCTACTAACTCCTTTCCTCACTGATATCTCCTCTCTCCACTCATCCCTGTCCATTTGCACTGAACACCTACTCATCGTGGGTCATTTAAACCCCTGCCCTACCTCCTCTGATTTAACTGCCCTCCTCTCTCCCTAAACCAACCCTCTACATCAACTCGCCAACCCACAACCGTGGCCACTCCTTTGACCTTGTCATCACACATGGCCTTGACATTTCCAACCTGTATCACAGACAAGGCCATCTCGGATCACTTTCTCATCTCCCTCTCCTCCCGCACCCCCTCTCCTCTTCCGACCCCTCCTCCACCACCTCTCCTTCCTCATCCACCTTAATGGGATCGCACTCACATGGTTCGAGTCCTACTTAACTAACTGCCTCCATTTCATCTCAGCAAATGGTTTCTCCTCCCGTCTCCGCCAGGTCACCTGCAGGGTTCCATCCTTGGCCCCCTTCTTTTCCTCATCTACGTGCTCCCTCTGGGCGATGTCATCCGCAGACACGGGATAAACTTCCACATGTATTCAGATGACACACAAGTCTACTTTGCCTCCTCCAGTATCGACTCCAGGTCCTCTGATGTTCTATCAGCTTGTCTGGCAGACAACAGGGCATGGATCAGGGCAAACTTCCTGCAGCTGAATTTTGTCCCGGATTATTGTCTCCAGAAGTTTCCCCACTACTGAGTTTAGGCTGACTGGCCTGTAGTTCCCGGGTTTATCCTACTACCCCTTTTTGTATAGAGGAGTAATATTTGCAACCCTCCAGTCCTCTGGCATCACCCTGGTATCCAAGGCGGATTGAAAGATTGTGGCCAAATCTTTGAATCCACCGGTACTTCCCTCAGTAACTTAAGATGCATCCCATCCAGACCGGGTGACTTATCTACCTTGTGCACGGACAACCTTTTAGTACTTACTCTCGGTTTATTCTTATCCAATTTCTTTCATCTTCTCCTCTGATATTGTGGCATTGGCTGCGTCCTCTTCTTTTGTGAAGACAGATGCAAAGTACTCATTCAGCACATCAGCCTCTGCCTCCACAAGAAGATTTCCTCTTTAGTCCCTAATTGGACCCACCCTACCTTTGACTAACTTTTTATTTGTTCTGTGCTTATAAAATACCTTAGGGTTCCCTTTTATATTCCCGCTAATCTTTTCTCACACAATTTCTTTGTCCTTCTTATTTCCTTTTTCACTTCTCCTGTGTGCTTTCTAGAGCACTCGCTTTGCAAGTGAGAGACCTGAGTTCAATTCCAGGCAGAGGGCGAAACCTTGGGCAAGTTTCCTTACTCCACACAGAGCCTAATAATAATCCTCCAAAAACCAAAAACAATAATTAAATTGGTCATTTTCAATCTACGACTGTTTGTGGGACATTGCTGTGCGCAATTGGCTGCCGCGTTCGCCCACAAATATACAGTCAATTCACTTTACAGTGTGTTCTGTGAAGCGCTTTGGGACGTCCTCCCGACGTGAAAAGCGCTATGTCAAATGCAAGGATTATTATTATTCTATTTGATTATCTTCTATATTTTGGACCTGACATTTGTCAAAAGCCTCCTTTTTCTCCGTTTTATTTTAATCCGAATTTCCTTATTCATCCAAACAACAATAAAATTACATTTATAGAGCCCCTTTCACGTCGGGAGGACGTCCCAAAGTGCTGAACAGTCAGTTGTCGGGGCCCGAGCATGGGGGAGGGTTGGTGTAGGGGTGAGGGAAGGCAGAGGGGTGGGAGGGCATGATTCGAAGAGAAGGGTCTTGAGACCGGCCTTGAAGGAGGCGAGGGAGGAAGCGAGGCCAAGGGACTGTGGGATGGAGTTCCAGAGTGTGGGGGCAGAGAGGCTGAAACCCCGGCCACCGATGGTTGGGCGGGAGACATGGAGCAGGTCGGAGCCCGAGAAATTGAGATCCTAAGGTTTCGATGCCCTACCCTTCCCCTTTATGTGAATGTATTTGTTCTATCCCAAACTATCTCCTCCTTGAAGGCTTCTCATTGCTTGTTAACTGTTTACCTACCAATCTTTCTTTCCAGTCCACCTTGACTCCAAGACCGGCTTAGTCTATTCTGTATTTCTCCCCCGTCTAATCCCTTTTTCTGGATTACTCCTGATTACATTGCTATTCATCTCTCCCAGCTCTCTATGTAACTTGTTTGTCCTCTCTAATGCTACATCCTGATTCCCTTCCCCCCTCGAAATTAGTTTAAACCCTTCACCATAGCGCAAATTAACCTCCCTGCGAGGACATTGTTCCCAGTCCTATTAGGTTGTAAGCCATCAATCTTGTACAGGTCCCACCTGCCCCAGAACTGGGCCCAATAATTCAGGAACCTGAAGCCCTCCTTTCTGCACCATTTCTCCAGCCATGTATTCATGTGTTTGATCCTGTTGTTTTGATATTCATTTGCATGAGGCACTGGGAGTAATCCAGAGATCACCACCTTTGAGGTCCTACTCTTTAGCTTTTTCCCTAGTTTCCGATACTCTCTCTGTAGGATCTCAGCCCTTTTTTTTCCCCTACGTCATGGAACCCAACATGAACCACGACTTCTGGATGTTCCCCTTCCCCCTACAGCACGTTTTGCACCCGTTACGTGATGTCTTCAACCCTGGCACCAGGGAGGCAACATACCAAGCAAGAGTCACGTCTTTGGTTACAGAAAAGCCTGTCTACTCCTTTCACCAATGTGTCCCCAATGACAATTGCACTGACACTCTTCCCTGAGCTCGAGCAGCCGGAGGCACTTCCTACACACGTGTTGTCCAGGGCACACAACAAGATTACATTTATATAGCACCTTTCACATCAGGAGGATGTCCCAAAGCATCCTGGAGTTTCCACTTGGCACACATTGTGCATGCAACCAGCTGTCCTCCCATATTCCCAGACATGTTTTATATTGTGTTAATATAAATATGTTGTTATAATTATGCACCTCTTCCCCCCCCTCTACACTGAATGCCCACTCTCACCAAATTCCTTAACAGTTTTCATTCTGTTCCAACTCACTCAGTTCCCTACTCACACTGCTGGGCTCTCTGCTCAAGAGATGTTCAGTTTCTTTTGAGTCTTAATATCTCGGGAACCCAGGGATATTCTCAACCCAAAGGAGTAAAACAAAAATTCCAGTAGTTTCTTTTTTTCCCTACAGGGATTCCCTTTCATCCTGCAAAGAAAAAGGAGCCTTTTTAATCTCTCACCTTTTCTGTGTTTCAGGATAAAGTTAAAGCTGTCTTTGACAACCTCATCCAGTTGGAGCACCTGAACATAGTGAAATTCCATAAGTACTGGGCAGATGTAAAGGAAAATAAAGCCAGGGTAAGCTGCTGTGCTGATAGCTTTGAGGAGCTTTCATGATAGACTGCAAAGATTTGTCTTTCCGGTACTTGATTAACAAGTGGAAAGAACAAGCTGTCTCATTCCTGTCCCTGAGAAGTTTGAACTATGAGCATGTTGCTCATGAGGACTGCATTATTTATAGATGGGAAAAGGGAGTGGGACTAAATAGATAGCTCTTTCACAGACTTGGCACGGGCATTTTTTTGGGAGGTCAGCCGGGTGTCTGACACATGCAAAAACCCATCACTGTGCTTAAGAGTATCCAAACCAAATTGGGCATTCCATATATCCCATCTACACATGGAAATCCCAGATAGAGATCGTTGGAATGGAATGTGCACTCTCTCCCTGAAGGGACCCATCCTGCTTACCTAATTCCAGGGAGTAATATTTTTGTGTTTCCCTTCCAGAAACATGACAACGTTTACGGGTTATGGAAGGAGCGGGTGGGCCAGATGAAATGGAGGTGGGGGGGATAAAATTTGGCTGTCAGTTGGACCACCCTGCAATAATCTGCATTTATATCTCGCCTTTCACACCGAGAAGTATCTCAGAGTTAACCTACTTGTTTATGTTCCTCCAGGTTATATTTATCACAGAGTATATGTCATCAGGAAGCTTAAAACAGTTCTTGAAGAAAACAAAGAAAAACCACAAAACGATGAACGAAAAGGTTAGCTATTGATTTACTAGTTTTAGGCTTTCTCTATACTCTATGAATCTGCTGTATCTCTGTGTTGGAGATTGCTGCTAATAAATGCAGTGTTGCTGAACCTTGTTATTCCCCTCCTAATCATCACTGACCTCAGCAGAAATTTACTCCATTAGTCTTGTGCTTTGCAGTTCCACTGTGTGGAATGGAATTTATCTTGTGAAGCTCAGGTGTTGTAGAGTTAATATACTGGGTTATTAATCTTCACCCAGTGGATGTGTACAGGCTGCTGTTGCCAACATTGATGGAGTAGAAAGTGTAATCCATCAACTGACAAGAGCACACTGTCAAATTTTCCTTCTGGTTTATTATGAAGAAATTTCCCATCTTGTTGAAAACTTAGAATTTCTATTTCCTCAAATTACTTCAAGTGGTGCCATTTTTTTCCCTTGGTGTTAAAATGATCCATCTGTTATTGATCTAATATGGATTTGCTCCCAATAGTAAAGATAACTGTTCCTTACTGAGCTCAGTTTTGATTGGAGTGACATAAGAGCACTGGATACAGGAGGATCCCATAGTCAGAAGGGTGTTCGGAAAAGCTAGATATGCTGGGGCTCTCTGGGCTTGAGAAGAGATGTCTTAGAGGTACATGATGGAGGTATACGATTCTAGATGGGTTTGTAATAGTAAATCCAGCATAATATGTGCCAAGACACACATTCAGGGTTGCAAATGAAAATTTCAGGAGAAATGCCAGAAAATATTTCTTTACACAGAGAGTAATCAGTCACTGAATGGGGTGGTTTGTTGTTACTACTAATACTCCTGCCAGCAGGGGTGGGTAAGGTCAGAACCCTGGCACTTGTTTAAGAAACATTTTATACTGTAATGGAAAATGTTAGGTTGGGTATTCTGAAAGGGTGAAATCAAATGGGTGAAAGGGCATTTTTTTATTCAAACCTCTTGTGCTTAGACCTGTGCCTTGAGAGAGCTTTCGCTGAAAGGGTAGTAATGTTTTTCTGAATAATAATTCTCACTTTCCTATGGTGACTCATCAAATGAGGTGAAGGACACCTAGCTAGAGGAACTTTACTGAAAGGCATCTTTGTGCTCTGATTGTTCACAGGCTTGGAAGAGATGGTGCACACAAATTTTATCCGCATTGAGGTAAGATGAATAAAAAGACTTTCCATTTTTTTCAAAAATCACTGTAAATAAATACTCTGTATTTCTCAGTCACTTACAAGAAGAAAAAATTTCACCTGAAATTTATTTTTAAAAACAAGTTCAATCTGGTTTTATTTTTGCTGGTGCGGAGGGTGAGGGTGGGGCTGACGGAGGATGATTGATGGTTCCAGTATCTATGATGTGCTGGTTTAGGACTAAGCATGTGCACAAATCACATCATCAACACACATTAAACCAATGTTCCAAAATATGTCTGTATTGTTTAGGAGCACAGGAACAAGAGGAAGCCATTCAGCCCCTCTGCCTTTCTGTGGTTCATCTGTACTTCAACTCCATTTACCCGACCTTGCCCCATATCCTTTAATACCCTGATCTAACAAATGTCTACCCACCTCAGTCTTGATGATGTGAATGGATACAACATCCACAGCCTTTTGGAGGAGAAAGTTCCAGATTTTCATTACTCTTTGTGTAGGAGAAAAAAACTAACCCTTTCACCACATGTACCAGAGCTTTGGAGGTCAGTTGCCACCTCCTTCCCCCAGCTTTCTGATTTTCTTCCATTTCTTGACAAAGAAAAATAAACCCCAGTAATACCCACATTTTTATTATTGTGAGTAATATTAGAAGTTCATGTCTTGCTTTTTCAGACAAAACAAATCAAATTAAATCTCAATAAATCAAACAATGGTGTCATTCATGTCAGAAATCATTGGGGAATGAGCAGCCGAGGCCTTATTCATCTCATACTACTTCCATGGGGAGTAGTATGATTGCTGCTGGGGGTTGTGTGAGGTGTTAGCCCTCTGTGTGAGCAAGGCAGCTCAGTCAGTCACTCTTTCATCACTTTAGGAAAACCGTTTAACCTAAATGAAGTTGGTGCATGTGGCTATAGCCTGCACCTATTTGTGGTGCCTGGTGACTGAGGAATATAACAGTAAATTCCTGATAACTCCACGCTGGTTTAACTGGTCACTACCACTTAACTCATCCCGGCCACATTTATTGATGCATTTATACATATGCTTAACAAGCTGCCCCCAGTGGCTGGCCTGATAACTGGTCACTGAGCCCAATTCCCTTGGAGTGATGAGTTATCAGGAGTTTACCAGGTCATGTTTGGAACCATCTAAAGAATAAAACCATGGGGAAAAAAACTGTTTTATTAAAAGCTAAAGAACAGCAACCATAGAGAGTTTTAATAAATAAACAAACCTGAACCAGTGGGATATAGAAGCACTGAGGTAGACTGCAATACAATTTACATTACATAGTGTAGGGACAGAACTTCAGATGATGGACTGAGATTTCAAAGAAAACTGTCTTATCCTCTTAGTCTTGCTCAGTGAACCTTCAGGGAAGATCAGAACCATCTCATTAACATGCCAGCCATGTCTGCAGTGAATACGTGCAGCACTCCATCAGAAGCTTGTGTCGGGCAGCTTACCTCGAGCAGTCACTGTGCTTTTACAAAGTATTACCAGGCTGACATCAGCTCAGGGCTTGTATTCCATGCCAGCCTGAAGACATGGGTCCCTGAGACCATCCGGCCTCCAGTGTGATAGTTACGTGGAGATTATAATAGGAATAATAATATAATATCCTTGCATTTGATATAGTGCTTTATCATATCTTCAATGTCTCAAATCACTTCATAGAATATACTGTAAAGATAGTTAGCAAACAAGCAAATGGGGGAAGTTAGGAACATTTTTCACACAGCAGTATGAAAAAACTTCCCTGCTGTGAGCAGTAGCTGAGACAGAATCCATCTTCACTTTCAGAAGGGAATGGGTAAACACCTCAAAAGGAGTCAACTAGTCAGGGGCTATGGGGAAAAGGCAGGAGATGATGATAATCTTTGCATTTGATATTGTGCTTTATCACATAGTTGAAACATTTCAAAGCGTTTCACAGAGTATACTATAAAGTAAATTGTTGTGCAACACAGCAACCAGTTAATTGCACACAGCAGTGTCCCACAAACCGTTGTGGATTGAGTGACCATATTATTATAGGTTAAATTATATATGGTACTGAAAGGTTTTCTGTTTAAAAAGGCCAGCACAGACATGACGGGCTGACTGAGCTGTAAATTTCCATGGTTCCAGATGGGGCTGTGATGTAGTATTTTTGTGTTCTGTCCAACATTAACCTTGCAAGGCGTTGTGTTACTAAAACATTACAATGTCCTGAGTTTTCTGCAACACTTGGTTTGTCAAGAAAGTAAGTTGTGGCTGACCTTGCTAGATATTTACTCTCCTTTTTTTTCTTTCTCAGCTACCTCCACTCCTGTGACCCTCCCATCATCCATGGAAACCTGACCTGTGACACGATATTCATCCAACATAATGGACTAATAAAAATTGGTTCTGGTGGGTATTCATCACTCGGGCTTCTTGTTCAAGCAATCTGAGTTGCATCCATGTTGTCTAACAGAGAATATATTGTTCTAAAGAAGTGTGGAATGAGAGAAGGCTATTTGTCTCATCAATCCTCCTCCTTTCAATGTCCTTTGCTTGATGTTACCTTGCTCTAAACTTACCTAGAAACAGTGTTACACAGTGCTTTTTTCATATTAAGGATATTTGTGCAAGCGACACAATGTGAAGGCATCAAAGCCAAAAAAGTAGCAGTTTTAATCTTTTCTGTTTACTTTGTGGTGAGAAGGAAGCTTCTTTCGTTGTCTCTTTCCTGAAGTCAATGGTTGGGTTCAGCTCTACAAGTGCTGATAGTCCCCCAGTACCTCGCTGAACGAGCTGTTCATCATCTGCAAACATGGGCAGCAGCAGAGATTCAGGGGTGGAGAGAGGGACATTCCTGCCCCACACATACACTGCCAACAATATAGTGGCGAGCACCTTTAGACTCCCTCCCAAGTCACAATATAAATGCATATTGTATTATGTAAAGATTAAGAGTAGGGAACCTTAGCCAATTGTTTCTCGTTACCTCCCCTCCCAAGACTAAGGACACAAATGTCTATTCTAACATCTCATTCCCACTTCAACTGACTTATTAGCACAACCAGTAATTAAAATTGGGCACCTTCCTGATTCACATGGTTTAGTACTGCATTACAAACTGCACTAGTAAAATAATAATAATTTAGTCACTCAATCCACGATTGTTCATGGGATATTGCTGTGCGCAATTGGCTTCTGCATTTCACCCACAAAATCCACTTTACAGTATTCTGTGCAGCACAATGTGATCAGGCGCTATATCCAATGCAAGGATTATTATTATTATAAAATGCATTTACCGAGTTAGTATTTGAATGACCTAGGCTGAATCTTGGTGGGTTAGGAATGGACTTCATGGGAAAATTAACTCTGGAATTTGTTTTGCAAGTCTTAGTCTGAAAACAGCAGTATTGCCATTGAATCACAAATATCTGAAAATGAAAATGTGCATGGGAAAGGGCAGAGGAGAGGGATTAAATGTCTGCTGTTTCAGTTAGTGGGTACAGCCATCGGGGCTAAAAGGCCTCCTTATGTGCTGTAATTCCGCGATTCTAACATGGTAACCAGAGCTTGTTGCTGCTGATGTTTAGTTGTACCAAACAGACAATGTTGGCGTTGCCAGCAGGTCATCCTTTGTCCTAACCAGACTTTCACTGATATTTTCCCTCTTGGAGATGCCTGTTGCTGTGGCCATTTCCTTGACTGCAGTTAAGTGGAGGGCAAGCATAACATCCGAATGGCTTGGTCTTCCGCTTCAATAACCATTTGGATGGGTGAGATATCGTCACTGCTGCATTTCAATCAGAGAATTTCTGCAGCATGAACATCTCTCATCAAAGAAATGGTAGAGCACAGAATATTACCGTTTCCATTCCCTTTTATTACCCTTGTCAGCAACTTGATGTTTGTCAGACACACTGATCCAGAACAGAGTTTCGGTTCTGACAGATTTCCAAAGACGAGATCACAAACTCACTCCCAGAGACTCAACTAAAGGATTTTCAGACCCCAATCTGAAAAATATTTTTGAACATCTTCAATATGCCGTTTTTAAAAGAAATCTTACCTACATTGTTGTAATTCAGTACGTATTTCTTTAAGTTATAAACATGGCACACATGTCACTGGACCTTGTATACAGAACCAATGAAAGTATGATAGTCCAAGGCGCTGGACAGTCAGGGATTTGGACTGTTTAGCGGACAATGCCTTTCTATTTTCAGGAATCCGTTTTCTTTAGATCTATTGTGCACAGCTAATTCTGAGCATTCTTAACCTGGAACTACATCCTTCCACACAAACTGCCACTCTGTATGACAATTATTAATTCTTTGTAAACTTTTTGTTTTTCCAGGGAACTTGTGATGCTGACTAGCGCATGTTCAGACAAGCAACTGCCTCTGTCTAGGCAGGTTTATAATGACAAAACTTGGATGTGACACATACTGAATTACTTATCCCAGTTCTTATGCCCTTAACCCAATCTTTGATTTGACTATCTAGGTCTCTTTATTCCATAGGATTGTAAGAGTCCATTGACTGATGTGATAATTAGAAGCAGGAGGCCATTCAGCTCATTGAGTATTACCAGTTTATTAGGTGAAACCCATTTTAAACCGATTTCCCTGCATTGTTTTCTTGCCCTTCGATACTCAAAAAAAAATGTTTAAAGGAGCATTCAAAGTATACAAGCATTGGGTACAATAGGCTAAATGACTGCCTTTTGGGGTGAAATGTCTCAAATGCTGTGATCTCTTCCAGAGCATTTTAACATATTCCTGATGTGAATTTTAGCTTTCATTCAAGGTCTTTGGCATAGAGCGGGTTTACAGGTATGCCAGTTTGGAGGTTCTTCCATCTAAGCATATTGCCTGTTCAGAACAGGGACCGGTTTTGCACTTTCCTGGTTGTCAGAACATTGTAAGTTACTTTCATTTTGTGGCAAATTATAGACTTGTTATAATGAGTCACAAGCTGAGAGTCACTATAGACATGTTGGTAGTCTGGTTCCTGAGCCAGGTGGTTACGCAGTATTCCAGGTCACTGCTGATGACAGCACAGCCGGCCTAGCCCATTGGCAGGATGTGGAAGGGCAAACAAGTCACTGGGGACAGGTAATCCTCCTCAGCTCCTGTTAACCCTGCAAGACAAAGCCCTAACAAGTAGGGTGATTCTAGCTGGACAAAGCAGGAAAGCTTGCCAGGCAGTGGTATCTATGGCAAGCTACGTGGTTTTAGCTGGTTAGATTCCAGGAGTTATCCCAATGCATATTCTGGGTTCCCCAAGCCTTTGCTCTTGCCACTCTGCACCTAATTAGGTAAGCAAGATGTGTCCATCCAGGGAGAGAGTGTGCATTCCATTCCTACAATCTATCTCTGGGATTTCAGTTTGGTTTGGGCACTCTTAAGCACCGTAATGGGTTTCTGCATGTGTCAGACACCAGTTAGAATAACTGATCAGAAGGGGGGAAGGGAGAACTTGTAATGGGCCACTGCGCAGCACCAGAATGTTCCATTCTCATAAAATTGCCTAAAATCCTGAAAATCCCTATCCATCAGCCAGCATGACCAAAACCACTGTTAACTGGGATGAATTATCAGAGGAGCTAAATTCAGATCAGAAGGTGGTCTGGAGTTCTGTGTGCAGCAGTTGGACTTGTACCATTGGCAACATGTGGCCTCAGAGTACTTTTTAGGGCAACCAGTGTTCCATATCAATTTGGGATCCAGTATAATGAAGGGTTAAAGACAGATTTTTTTTGCTGTAAAATCAAAGATTTCAAGTTGATGTAATACCAAATTAGTCACACTGACGCATGCTTCAAAGTGGATGTCATCTAAAAGCTCAGTTTACCATTGCAAAATACTGGTGAGCTTTTGTCTGCTTATTCAACTTTGTCCGGTCTGGTTAGGACTTTGGCTTGCAATGTTAATGGAAGCCAAGTGAGACGAGCCCTTGGTCCCAGTTACTGGTCTACATCTGAGCCAGGTTGGTCCAACAACTGTGTGCAGGTCCTGGAGACTGCCTGGCTTCTGTGTCAGGACTTCTGAGACCACCTCAGAGAAATGGCTTGGTTCTTATCTTCTATTGCCAGGCATGTCAGCTTGGAGCCCACTCAAAGCGATGCTCATCTTTCTCTGACTTTTCCCCTCACTCACTGGAGGAAAGGAAGAAAGCATTTTTCTTAGCAAGTGCATTCAATGGTTGCTGGATCCTGAACAGGGCGCTTTTAACCTCTCTATCTGACGTTCTGAATTCACAGATTGGGGATCTCATACTAAAATGTCATGAGGTTTTGCTGTTTGCTCTGGAGGCAAATGCTCAGCTTCCCACATTGACCAGAATTGTAGTGTGTGGCCTATGCAGAGATTGGAGACTGTCCAGTTCTCAAACTGTACCACGTGCACGGTGTCCATTTGCTATCTTATAATATTAATAATCCTTGCATTTGATATATCGCCTTATAACGTCTTCAAGACATCTCAAGCGGTTCACGGAATATACCGTAAAGTGAATTAACTGTTGTGGGAGAAACACAGCAGCTGAATACACGCAGCAGCGTCCCACAAACAGTCACTTGTGGATTAAGTGACCACATAATTTTTTTTTGAAGGATAATTTAACACAGTCTTTCAGGGGTTGTGGTAAAGTCATTTTGAGCTGGACATTCCGGTTCATGAATAAACAACCTGGAAACTTCTAAAGTATGAACTAAACCAAAAGATTATTTGTGAAATGGAAGTAAATTGTTCAACATTTATAGAATTGGGAAGAGCCGTTTCTGTCTTTCGTCTGCCTCTTTATAGGTCCACAGGTCCTCTTTAAAAGTACTTTACAAGTCTGACTAGCAATTTATTTTTTCGGAATGAGTTTGCTTTTGTAAGCACACAACACAGAGAATTTCACACAGATTTTTTTCCCCTTAAATAATGTCTTATTGGTTAAAGGAATTGCCAAATGCACCTCTTTTTATAAGTCCATCGGTTATCTGAGTTTGTACTCCCTCCCTTCCCTCCCCTCACCATTTCCCCCCTGCTTGGGTCCCGACCCAACTGTCCAGCGCCTTGGGACGTCCTCCTGACGTGAAGGACGCTCTATAAATGCAATCTTGTTGTTGTTGTTTCCTATTTATCCTGTCCCCTCTTTGGCCTGTACTTGACAAAAGTTGACAACTTGACATTGAACTAACTACAGCTTCTGTACAGGGATTCCTTTGAGTAATTGACTTTCCTACACCAAGGCCTGAAATCACACTTGCTGCATGAAAATCACTTTGTCAATTTGTGAGTTCAAGTGTTGCACGAGTGTTCCACAAATCTCAATCTAACCACTGACCCCCTTCCCCCCTTGTCTTCCTAACTCTGATAAAGATAGAATGTTTTGTTTAAACCTTTCTGTGGTTCTAACCTAGCTGTTTGTATTTGTGGATGCCTGCTGAACCATCACTCATCAACTTCTTGTTTTATTTCCCGCTTACGGCTGCTCTGTTGCGAACAGTCTTTCATAGGATATTTGCTAATGGTGAGAATCTTCCGGCTCCTGTGATGTGACTATTATTACTCTATCTTTTTATTTCGCTTTATAAGTATGCCAATGTGATGCGGGGAATGCACATCAGTCTTAGCCTTTGCATGAAGCTTGCATTGCATGCCTTTACTCTAGTGAAGCAATGTAGTGTTTGCCTTTTGTAGCCTAGTTCTGCAGATAATTTGAAATGAAATTTGAGTTGCCTTTATTCTATGGATGCGAATGCTAGTTTGCTGCCTGGCAAATTAATATTCTTTGCTTTGAATTACAGTGTTAAATGCCTGTCTAGCAATTTCTGTTTTGGGAATGAGTTGATATTTTTGCAAGTGCAAAATATAGAGAATTTCAGAGTTCAAATTGAGTTGTTATCAGTTCCTCTCTTCTCTCCTCCCCCCCCCCCACCCCCCCCTTCCTACCCAACCCCCCAAAATGCCTTGTTTGTTAAAGGAATTGCCAAGTGCACCACTGAATCTTACAGACCTGTTTATAATTTGTACTTAACTAACTGATCTCACCTGATGGCAGCCGTTAGGTGCTACACTGTACCTCAGTTCAGGGAAAATGGATAGCTATGAAAACTCCCTTTTCTTTACATGGTCTTATTGTCTTAAAAATGTATATTTCTGCAGAATTTTATTTTAATTTTTTTAAATTCAGTCTTAATTTGGAAGACGGGTTTTCAACAGAAGCCTTCCAAATGAGACAACATTATTTAATTATTAATAATCCTAGCATTCGATATAACTCCTTGTCACGTCGTCGAGATGTCTCGAAGCGCTTCACAGGATATACTGTGAAGTGGTGTGAATGTGTGTATTTGAAGAACTTTCCAATATGTTGCCTAATCTTAAACGTTTGAAGCCAAGACTCGTGGAGTCATTTAGCTATTGGTTAGAGCGCTCGCCTTGCAAGTGAGAGGACCTGGGTTCAATTCCTGGGCAGGGTGGAACCTTAGGCAAGTTTCCTTACGCCGCACGCCTCTGTTTATCCAGCAGTAAGGAGGAACCCGGTTGTTAGTTGATTCGTGGATCGCTTTCTGGGGGTAATGATCCCTTCAAAATAAATAAAAAATAATAATTTGGTGGATCAATCCACGACTGTTTGTGGGTCACTGCTGTGTGCAATTGGCTGCTGCATTTCGCCCACAAAATATAGTCAATTCACTTTACAGTATATTCTGTGAAGCGCTTTGAGACGTCTCTAAGACATGATAAAACCCTATATAAAATGCAAAGATTATTATTAAGACTAAGATCTTTCAAACTCCTGGTGAGAACATGATCAGGTGTGGCTGTAAAGTACACCAGAATATAAAACCGCCACATTTAAACTAACCGTTCTCACATAGACCCACATCTAGAGAAAGTATAGCTTTTTAAATATATTTGTAGCGTGGCTATCGATTTTGCATGCATGGCATGTAATGTGGGCTCCAAGGAAAGCTAAGGTTTGCAAAGCTCACTAAAATACTTAACATGTTTTGAAAGGGTTTACTGTTTTCCCTTTTGCAATGCATGCACCTTCCTAAAGGGTCTTTATAGTGATAGACATGCTCATTAAAGTGACACCATAATTAGCCCATAGTCTGTTTTTCTTGGTTCTCTGCACTTTCTTTCCTTTCTCCCCAATTACGAACTGATCTTAAACTAACGTCTCATGCAAGTTTCATTCATATCATGTATAACTGCAGCAGTTTGTAATGGCTGATAGGCCTCTTAAATTTACTGCTCCCTCCAATTGGGTGTAAAGGGTCGGAGCTATGTATTTTGCTGTGAAGTTACTATTGATATTTGTTGTCAGTTTTATTCTCTATGAGAGATCTGCTATGATCATTTAGTGACTTAGCGGGCAGTCATATATCTGCATTTGCTGTCAGTCCATGTATTACATAGATCAAATGAAGTGCAACAAGTTACATGTGTACAGCACCTTTCATGTTGAGAGGATGTCCCAAGGCGCTGGACAGTCAGGACCCGAGCTGGGGGTTGAGATCTGGAAGAATGAAGGGCAGCGAGGGTAGGGGTAGGAGAGTGACTGAAGGCGTGGTCAAAGGATGGGCTTGAGTCACGCCTTGAAGGAGGCAATGGACGGAGCGAGACAAAGGGACTATGGGATGGAGTTCCAGAGGGTTGAGGCAGAGAGGCCTAAGTCCCAATTGCTGATGATGGGTAAGCCCTCCACCTCAACCTCTTCAGCTCCCACCCCAGTTTGGATGCCCAGCCAGCAGTGTTTAACACTTTGAGTCGACCTGACGTTTGAAAGACACCATATAAACATAAAATGCATATCAGGAGTAGAACCAGGAGAGGTTGGGAGTGAAGTCACCTGGTCTTCAGCTCTCTGCTGTCGTTCTTTTTGTAGCTTGGTGTTGCTCTCTGTTGTCTCGATGTTGAGAGGGACGTTTGGCAATGCACTGACTGTTGTAATGTGGTAGGTAAGAGAGTAGAGGGCAGAGCTGAAGGAAGGACCACTTGACCTGGAGTACCAGCTATGCTGCCTCACCACATGTGGGAGCAGTATGCAAGTTGTAGATGAACTTTGGAAGTCGAGTGCTCTTGAGGGGATATCAAAATGTTTGGCACGTAAACAGATTTCTCAGACTGCTAGAAGCTCAGAGGAACGACATTGAGGACAGGCAAAGCTAGATTGAGCAGTTTGTGACTGGAGATGGTTTACTGACTTACCAATGCCAGATGGCTGATCAGGTTTTCACTTGGTGGTTGGATTGTATTAAATGGCCTTGTATAAAACCGCTGTGACATTCCAAAGTTAGTATCGTGTCCAAGTTCCCTGTGTTTATTGGGCTCTTGCTGCTGTTTTGTGGTTTTTATAGGGTTGAAAGTCATTTTCCTCTGGTTGCTGAGGTTGGGGGGGAAGATATTTGGGAATGTAATTTTAATGAGGATTTCTGTCTCCTGTGTTGCCATACAGAACACAACGCCCATCTCCATTTATCTCTTTGCACTAATGCTACTCAAAGAATTTGCTTAGCAAACATTCCCCTTGTGCAGTAAGTTCACAGTGACGTGCTTCCATTTCAAATTATACTGACCTGCTTTTCCCTGCTCCAAGCTAGGACCAGCCATTAGAGCTTCGGCTTGCAGGTTAATGGGAACTGAGTGGGAAGAATCCCTGCCCCAGTAACTGATCTGCTCCTTCACGTCTGCCAATGAGCCAGGCTGGCTGGTCTGTCTCATCATCAGTGCTCTGGAGTTCTGCCGTCTCACCTGGCTCAGGAACCGGATTACTGAGATTACACATGCTGACATTCCATTGCCAAACATGTCACCTTGGAGCCATTTTAGCTCCGAGGTGGATTTCGATGAGGGTTTATTTGAAGAAATGGTGGGGGGAAGCTCTTAACATCCAACTGAATCAAGATATAATCCATATTAAAGGTCATCAAAGTAGTGTTTCTTACTTTGTCGTACTGTTTACTTGAATTTCTGAACTTTTTTCGATGCAGTTGCACCCGACACAATCAACAACCACGTGAAGACGTGTAGAGAGGAACAGAAAAACCTGCACTTTTTTGCACCAGAATATGGGGGTAAGGAAGCTTTCTGAACCTTGTCCTGTAGTTGGTAAACATAATATATGGAGTCCTATAGTGCAGTGGCTAGCGTGCTTGCCTCGCAAGTGAAAAGATCCAGGTTGAATTCCTGAGTGGGGTGAAACCTCACGCGAGTTTCCTTACTCCACACACCTGTTTACCTGGCAGTAAATAGGAACCCAGTTGTTAGTCGATTGGGGAATTGCTTTCTGGTACTTGCACTGAAGCCCATTGTAAAGGATGAGTTGCCTGTACACGTGTAATGTCTTGTTCATCAGCTTCAATTGCCAGTGCTTGTTTTTGCTGATAATATTGTGGTATAGTGCTTAACATGTCGTCGCAATCTCTCAAAGCGCTTCACAGGTTATATTGTAAAATGACATGACTGTGGCAAAATTTTCTTCCCTCGGAAGTGTATTCCTGAGCAAAAGTAAATGACAGTAGTTCCTCGTTTCACGCCTGAGGCATGAGGTCTTGGGCTGTATGGCTATTTTGTCTTCATTTAAGGTGACCCACAATTAGGGTAATTTGTTCTTGATTTGGAAGTTGACTCTAAAGAATCACGGCAAACCTCAACTTTTGCAATTCTGGTTTCTCTTAAACTTTAAGTCAAAAAGGTCTCGCAGGCTGAGGCGAGGGGATATTTGAGGCCTCTGATCTTCACAAAACACTGGCCGACCCATTAGTCTGAATTTGAGTCCGGGCTTTAATGGTTCTGGACACTGTTGTTTACCACAAGGCCACCCACTTACCCAAACTGGACTTCTGAGTTTGCCTACAAATGGTCACTATACTTATAATTATATACTAATGCTGTTAAGAGCTTTGAGAAGTCCTCCTGGTATGAAATATCAAATGCAAGTATTACTATTTTTAATCTGTTCGGTTTCACCTAAAAGAAATTAACAACTTGCAATTGTTGATTGAAATTAACAATTTCATTATATAAACACCTTTCTCAATTACTTTGCAATGTTTAATGGTTCACTGGGGTGAGGAGGTAGGGGAAGTGGCTTGAGAATGTTGGCCAAAGGCTAGATTTTGGAATAGAGTCAGACATAGTGCTGAACACTCACTATGGGATCCAGAAGAATGAGAAACTAAAATCCTTTTCTCAGAATATTGAATATTGCTGTTTGATTTCCACTGAGATGTTTATTTCCTGAGTATTGCCTGTATTCTGATCATTTTAACCATCGTCTCTAACCTTCTGTTCTCTGTTTGTAGCTGTGACCGATGTGACGACAGCTGTGGATATTTATTCATTTGGAATGTGTGCATTAGAGGTAAGTGGTTGCCCACAATCTTTGAGAGGAGAGAGAAGAGCAAATGGGATGGGCAGTTAAAATCCTTGACAATTTGGCTGCACTGTAATCAACATACAGCACAGCAGCCGATTTATATAATAATTCTTGCATTTGATATAGCGTCTTTCACGTCTTCTCGACGTCTCAAAGCACTTCACAGAATAGACTGTAAAGTGAATTGACTGTATATTTGTGGGCGAAATGTGGCAGCCAAATTGTGCACAGCACAATTTGTGCACAGCCCAATAGTCGTGGATTGAAGTGACCAATTTTTTTTTCTTGAGGGATTATTATTAGGCGGGTGGAGTAAGTATGGAAACAAAATTAAATTCAGATTTTTATTTATAAATGGTTTCAGATCTTGAACATTTCTGCAGTAAATTATAAAGGAATATTTGCACAGAAATGTCCCACAAACAGCCACGAAACAAACGAATGACCAGTTTTATTTGGGGGAATGTTAGCCAGGCTCCCGAAGAAACGCCCTTCTCTTTTCAAATTGTGCCACAGGATCTTTACCATCCAACTACTCTGGCAAATGGCATTGTTGTTCTGTTGAACGTCTCATCTGATGGACGGCACCACCAACAATGCAGCACTCGCCCAGCGTCGGCTGTGCGGGTTTAAAGTCCTCATGGGATTTCAACCCAGACCTTTCTGACTCTTGCGTTGAGCGTGCCATCAGCTGAGACAGGCTCATACACCGGGGTGGGTCAGTCAGAGGTCTCTGAAGGAAAATTGCAAGAGAATGTCACTTGTAGTTTTCAAACAAGGTATGAGATGACTGATGTAAAGTGAGAGCCTGCATTACCTGCCATATTATATTGGGAGGGAATATTTGTGTTCATCATCTGGAAAATATATGAATATATTCATTTCCCCTGTGATACAAATCAGCTGTATAAATCCAGCTGTTCATTTCGGTGTCTGAAAAATTGATAGACCAGATGGACTTTACCACAGTTACTAATTTAGTCATGTGAGTATTGTGTATGAAAAGCCCAAGTAAAGCTATCTGCCAGCAGCAGTAGGGACCAGCACAGTCTCTCCTGATTCCCTGTACAAACTGGTTCCCTTCCACTCACCACACAGTGCCACTGAGATAATACAGATTTCCATTAATATAGCGTCTCTCACATCAGGACGATGTCCTAAGGTGCTCAACAATACTGACTGGGCACCTGAGCTGAGTTGGGAGTCAGGGAGGGGGAGGAGAAAGCTGACAAAATACGTTCAAAGTGTTAGGTCTCGAGGTGGAACTTAAATGAGATGATGGCAGGAGGGAGTGAGTCAGAGGGACTCTGGGATGGAGTTTGGGCAGGGGACATCAAGCAGGCCAGGTAGTGAAGGGAGTAGCTGGGGTGGTAAGATTTGAGGAGGTCACAGGGATAGGGTGGGATGAGATCGTGGAGGGATTTAAAGATGAGGGTCTTGAACTTGATCTGGTGGGGGATGCTGAGCCAATGGCACTCAATGAGGGTGGGGCTGATAGGCTTGCAGAGCCTGGTGTGGGAAAGGATCTGAGATACAAAGTTCTTTGGATGAGGCATTAAACAGAGGTCCTGTCTACCTTTCAGGTGGATGTTAAAGATCGCTTGGCGCTATTGGAAAAGAGAAGGGAGTTTCTCTCTCCCGGTGTCCTGGCCAAGAGGCCCCTAAATAAAATTAAGTCACTCACTTTATGACTTTGTTTTTGCTTGGGCAAGATTGTGTTCCTGCATTTTCCTACAAATACATAATCACTTCACTGTAAATGATGTGAAGTGATTTGAGACGTCTTTCTCATGTGATAAGCCACAATACCAAATGTATAGAATATTAGTATTAGTATTATTGGTAGTTTGCAGCTTGTGGAGGGAAGAGTGAGGTGTTTGGGAACAGAGTATTGGCGATAATCCCAGTGGGAAGCTTCATTCCTTGTGCTGTTTGTCCCCGACTTCCCAGTGTGATAAAGTAACTCCCAGAGCACAAAGAACAGATGACTGGGAATGGATTGCAGATGTGTTTTGCTTTGATTAGAATAGTAGGTCAACCATGCGCGTGGCACTCATACAGCATTGGTGCAATTTACATGTGTTCCTCCTGTGTTCAACATTGTTTCTGATGTGTAGTTGGCAAGCTTACTGATCCAGTGCTTTGTTGTGTTGCAGATGGCTGTGTTGGAGATCCAGGGTAATGGAGAATCATCATACGTGTCTCAAGAAGCCATTAATAATGCAATTCAATTGCTTGAAGACACTCTGCAAAGAGTAAGTATTGTACCTCTGTTCTGATCAGCCAGGTGTCTTGGTGTACTTGGAAACCCATCACCATCCTTGAGTATCCAAACTAAACTGAGTTTCATTTAAATATGGAAATTTCCCTTTGTTGGGAATGGCATGTTCTCTCTCTCTCTCTCTCTGGAGACGGCCCCTGCTTACCTAATTCTAGAGAGTATGAGGTGCAAGCTGACAAGAGCCAAGACTTTGGGTTTATGAACTTTTATGAACAGTGTTCGTTGGGGTCTGCTGGAGTCTAACCAGCTAAAACTACACAGTTTGTCACTGTTCGGCAAGCTTCCCCCTGTATTTTAAGAACTATTCCAAGTTAGTCAGCTGTCCACTAGTATTCCCATAAACTATTGTGACTCAATTCAAGTAAAATTTGTCTAGGACCTGGGGAGAAACCACCTTTTCTTTTCCATTGTAATCATGGGATCTTCAAAGTCCACCTCATCAGGCAGACGAGACTTTGGTTTAATGCCTCATCTGAAGTACGTCACCACCGACAACACAGCACGGCCCCCAGCACTGCACAGGAGTATCACCCTAGATTGTGAGCAAGCTCAAACTGACAACCTTCTGACCCAGTGGAATAAATGACCTGAGCAAAGCTGACGCCTTTATAAAACTGCAGCTTGTGAGAGCTTGTATTTGTGCTTGCTGAATGTTGGAGTTGGACAGACATTCAAATTGTGGCCTGACTGATACTTTGATGCAATTCACATGTTTTTGGGTTTTAAATATCTGGCTTTAGATTTTAATTGGTGTTATTTTTTCTGTGTACACAAAGAATCAGTTGTGTGTTTTTTCAGAATAACATCTTCCACTCACAGCAAGCCTCTACATGCCATTAAGTGTGTTCCCCGATAGACCAAAGCATAGCCAAAAATGACACATGCTCTTTGACTGCTCAAGAAAGAACAAGTTATTTACAGTACTGGCACTTCATTGCATGAGAACCAAAAGATTTATTGAAAACATGTTTGTTTTTCTATTAAATATAAGGCAGGTTTGGAAAATGCTGCTCTTCTGGTCTCTCATTTTGACCTCTCCCTGTGACAACAATGTTTTTCTTTGGTTCCAAGGCGACATGCCTTGCAATGAACTACTGGTATTGAGTCAATTCTCTATGGTGGTCCCAGTACAACAACAATAACAACAACTTGTATTTATGTAGCGCCCTTCAACTAGGATAAGCTAAGCCCACTGATCACATCCAAAGTGTCTGTATTGAATGTTCCTGAATAACATAATTGGAACATTTTTGAATATATATTTATTTTAATCAAATAACTAGCAGCAGTAGAGACAAAAGACTGGAGTTGAACATCAGGCCTCATTGATCCATGCTTTTTCCAAGTTTCTGCCATCAAACTTTGGTGAACATGGATCCAAATGGTTTTAATGGTGGTGCGAACACACACACACACACACACACACACACACACACATATTGACATAGCAATATGTGAACAGCATTGCTTGTGTGCGGAGAGCGTGTGGCCGGGTAAACAGTGATACAGCAAAACGTATCAAGTCAATTTATTGTATATGAGTCAACCGGGATTTGGGAGATTGGCAGAAGGGAAATGAATGAGTGTAAAACATTTATGCCCATTTTTCTTGGCTCCAAACAGCATGAAAGCGGCTTGTCTCTATAGAGGTAGCAGTCTTGAAAAAGCAGTGTTGATATAAAAGCCAGGTTTATTTAATTATTAATAATAATCCTTGCATTTGATATAGCGCATTATCACGTCTTTGAGACGTCTCAAAGCACTTCACAGTTGTTCGCAAAGTAATTTAAATATGAATGAGCTAATATATTAAAATTCTTAGTCTCAAGAGTATGAACATTTCTACATTAGACTCAGGATTTAGCAGAGCAATCGAGGGAAACATTGGAAAGAATTTCTTCAATCCAAAGCTTGAGAGGGTGTGCGTTTCACCACCACAAGTGGCTATTGAAACTGTATCAATAGAATCATTCAAAAGGATAAGATGGATAAGCATCTGAGTAGTAAAAGCACTTTGGGATGTGGGGAAAGAGCTAGGATTAATAAAATAAGCGGTCGATTCAGTAACGCAGGTAGTGATGGTGGCAACACACAATGAGCTGAATGGCTTCCTTCTGTGCTGAAAAAATCTGGAATCCTGTAGTGAGTGATTAGAGCTCTCGTCTCGCAAGCAAGAGGACCTGGGTTCGATTCCCAGGCAGGGCGAAACCTTACGCAAGTTTCCTTTCACAGTCCTCTGTTTAGCTAGGAGTAAGTAGGAACCCGATTGTTAGTCGATTAGTGGATCGCTTTCCGGGGGTAATAACCTCTCAAAAAAAAATTGGTCACTTATTCCGTGACTATTTCTCACTATTTGCTGTGCGCAATTGGCTGCTGTGTTTCGCCCACAGAATACAGTCAATCCACTTCACAGTATATTCTGTGAAGCTCTTTGAGACGTCTCAGCAATGTGATAAGGCACTGTATCAAATGCAAGGATTATTATTAACTGGAACACTCGTGTGTCTGAATCGTACTGTGGGATTACGACTGAAGGTGTGTAAATCTGCTGCTAATAAAACCTTTGTGTTTCTCTCACCCCCCCCCACCCCCCTTTCAACGGTAGGAGTTTATTCAGAAATGTTTAGAGATCGACCCCATCAAGCGACCCACCGCCCGGGAACTGCTCTTCCACCCGGCTCTGTTTGAAGTGCCCTCACTGAAGCTATTAGCTGCCCATTGTATTGTCAGTCATCCTCGTAAGTACTGAGTCAGTGGCTGTGAATGTTGCAGGGGTTACATTTGTTCTTGTGTTGACGAGACCTTCTCTGGGTCAAGTACTTGCACTACTGTGTGTTTGGGTGGTTGACTGGCCTCCAGTGCTGAAGGCTGCAGGCCATGTGATGTTTTGTTCCTGTGATCACATGCAACTTAGAAGATCTTTCTTTACGAGTCAGACTTTGGTTCCCCTCTTGCTCCTCTGCACTACCTCCAGGAGGGGAAACTGAGATGACTCCCCATTGCCCAGTGACCTGTAGAGGCCTGTTCATCAGCATTTTTTTATTGCGAACTAACTAATGATGGAGTTATAAATTGGAAATGAATGGGGGGGGGGAGGTTTAAAAAAAAAGTCAATTTGCTTCATAATCTGGAGGATTAACCTTGACTAAACTTAAGTGGAGTCTTGTAGTGTATTGGTTAGAGCACTCGCCTCTCAAACTAGAGGACCTGGGTTTGATTCACGGGCAGGGCAAAACTTTCAGCAGGTTTCCTTACTCCACACAACTCTGTTAACCTAGCAGTAAGTAGAAACCCGGTCGTTAGTCCGTTGGTGGATTGATTTTCCGGGGGTAATAATCCCTCCAAAAAATAAATAATAATAATTTGGTCACTCAGTCCAACAACAACTTGCACTTATATAGTGCCCTCCATGCAGGGTAGCGTCTCAGAGCACTTAACATGGCGGAGCCTGACTCCAGGGAGGAGGGAGGTGGCCGTAAACATGGTCGAAGAAGAAATTCCGCGACAATTTGTGGGACTATTTGTGCACAATTGGCTGCTGCGTTTCACCCACATAATATACAGTCAATTCATTTTGCAGTATATTCTGTGAAGAGCTTTGAGACGTCTCGAAGGCTTGATAAGGTGCTGTATCAAATGCAAGGATTGTTATCATTGACTAGCTGTGAGGAAGTGATCTCAGAAAGGCAGTGGGTCACAAACCACGTGGTGTTATTTTCTAGCGAGCGAGCCAACATCCTAGCATAGAATCATACAGCACAGAAGGAGGCCATTCGGCCCATTGTGTGGGTACCGGCTCTTTGAAAAAAGCTATCCAAATCAATGGCACTCGCCCGCTCTCTCCCCACAGCCCTGCAAACTTGTCCTCCCCAAAAACTTATCTGCTTCTCTTAAAAGTTGTTATCAAATCGGCTTATTAGCAACAATATTTTTTAAGGTTAACCTGGAACCTGATGTCTGAAAATCCCTCGTCATGTTTAAGAGTATTCAAACCAGACTGAGTTCCATACGTGGAAATTTCCTTGTGTCTGAAATGCACTCTCTCCCCAGAAGGATGCATCCTGTTTACCTCATCCCAGAGAGTATCAGGCACAGTTTGACAAGAGGTGAAGTGTGGGGAGTGTGCATTAGTGGTGCTGCTGGAGATTAGCCAGCTACAACCACTCAGCTTGCCACTGCCCAGGATGCTTTTCGCTGCTTGTCTCACTAGGACCACTACCATTTAGGGCTTTGGTGTGGTCCAGGAGCTGCGTGTGAAGAATCTCTGCTGCTAGTCACTGATCTGCCCTTCAAATCCTGCTGTGGGCCAGGCTGGCTGGTCTCTCAGCAGCAGTGCCAAGGGATATTGCACACCTATCTGTACAGTCTCACTAGTTGGTCAGTTGTTTTCAGGGTTGTCCTTAACCAATTTAATAGCCGTCTCCTATGCTGTATATTACCAATATTTCTTTGCTTATTAAATACTCTCTGAATTTTTTTATCTATACCGATGTTCTGTTCATTTACAGACATGATTCCTGAAAATGCTTTGGAAGAAATATCGAAAAATATAGACATGAATGCAGTTCTGGCGGAAATCTTTCACCAGGACAGTGAAGGTGTACAGATCAGGTAGTTGATGCAGAAAGAGCAGCTCCAGCATTTTGGTTGTATCTGCTCCAGTTAATACTCCTCGCTTCAACAACATCAAATGACATTTACACAGCGCCTTTCACGTCAGGAGGACGTCCCAAAGAGCAAGACAGTCAGGGATCCGCACCCGAGATGGTGTTGGGATCAGGAGGGGTGGGAGGCGGGGATGGTAGGGGAAGGAGGGTGACCGAAGACACGGTCGAAGAGGAGGAACTTGAGACGAGTCTTGAAGAAGGCAATGGAGGGGCAAGGTGGAAGGACTGTGGAATGGAGTTCCAGAGGGTGGGGGCAGAGAGGCTAAAGGCCTGACCGATGTCACACCATCCTCTCCTGCTACGAGGGTCTTTAGTGTCATGCCACAGACGAATACACTTTGTCCTGTAGCATAGTGGTTAGCACGTTCACCTCACAAGCGAGAGGACCCGGGTTTGATTCCCAGCAGGGCGAAACCATAGGCAAGTTTCCTTACTCCACACGCCTCTGTTTACCTAGCAGTAATTAGGAACCTGGTTGTTAGTCGATCGACGGATCGTTTTCCAGGGTAATAATCACTTTAAAAAAAATAAATAATTTGGTCACTGAATCCACAACTGCTGTGTGCAATTGGCTGCCGCGTTTCACCCACAAAATACAGTCAATTCACTTCACAATATATTTGTGCAGCGCTTGAGACACCTCAACAATGTGATAAGGCGCTGTATCAAATGCAAGGATTATTTTTATAGTAACCACCATTTTATGGCCTTGTACATGTCATTAACTGTGCTTCTTAACCGTTGGATGGATAACGGCTTCTTTGGATTGCTTACGGTCACCTCCCTCTCCTTCGCCCCCTGGCTCATTGTCAGACCCCGTCACTGTGAAGCACTCCGGGACGTTATCCCGTGTGAAGGACCCTATATAAACGCAAGTCGTTGTTGGATGAACTCTTCATTTAGTTGTACAGTCTGATTAGCCAGCCTCAGTACCTCATCAATATTCCATATTTGGGGTCCATAAAATGCCAACTTTCCTTTTAACTCTGTGAAATCCAGAGCAGCTGCAGGTCAGTGTGTTCACATTGTGACACCGCTGATGCGGTTCCTATGTACGCCCAGCTTGGGTGCAAACCCTTTACTGTTCAGCGCCTTGGAACATCCTATCGAAGGCGCTATATAAATGCAATTTACTGTTGAGTTTCTCCTGATGTCCTTGACAACAAACAATGCTGTAATTTCTCTGGTCATTCACCGCCTGGCTGCTTGGGGATCTTTTTCTGGGCACAAATGGACTGCCACGTTTGCCTGCAAAAAGTCACTCACAGCTGTAACAATTACTGAGGTATTTTGATATATCAGACTATATAGATACAAAAAACTCCCCAAAATGCTATACTTTCAACCGTAACTTTGCAAGGCCATCTAATGGAAGTTCTCTGCTGTACCATTACAGGTTTTCTCAGTTCCCTGCGCTGGAATTGGATAAGTTTTTGGAAGATGTAAGGTAAGAATTGCTTTTCCCTTCAGCTCTAGTCTTCCTTCAGCACACACTGAGCAGACCTGGCAGTGCCTTTCTGTCTGCCTGCGAGGTATGAGTGGCCTGGCAGGCAGACACCAGTGAGGTCATTGTGAACTGCCGCCTCTCCTATTTGAGCATCTTACCTGATTTTCATCTGGTCTGCTTCCCTGCAACCGCCACGTCAGAGTTCCGTGTTTGTGAATTGACTGGGAGGAGCAGAAAAAGAGGAATAGCCTTGAGCACAAACTCCGCACTCTCCCTATGACCCAGTAAACTCATGCGATATTGTGCTGAAGCATACTGATACTTTTTTTAGGGGGGTTATGCGGGTGTCTGACACATGAGGAAACCCATCACTAGGCTTAAGAGTATCCAAACCACGCTGTGAATTCCATGCTTCCCATCTACACCTGGAAATCCCAGAGATAGATTGATGGAATGCTCTCTCTATCTCCCTGGATGGACAAATCCTGCTTACCTAATTCAGGAAAGTATTAGGTGCAGGTTGGCAAGAGCCAAGGCTTGGGGACCCCAGAATGTACGTTGGGGTAACTGTTGGAGTCTAACCAACTAAAACAGCATAGCTTATCATTGAGTGCGCTGTCTGGCAAGACCCAAAGGCCAGTTGCCTTGTCCTAATCTGTCCAGAGTGTGTTTCGGGGGTCACTCGCCTCAGTTAAATGTTTGTGTACCACATTCTGTCAGGGAATTGAGCTTTGCTTTTGTTCAATGTTTAGGAATGGCATTTACCCTTTGACGGCATTTGGGTTGCCCACACCCCAGCAACCCCAACAAGAGACTGTGACCTCCCCCATCGTCCCACCTAGTGTAAAAACCCCAACACCCGAACCTGCAGAGCTGGAGACCAGGAAGGTAAGAAACTGTTCCATCCCCGAAGGAGACCACGCTGGTGTTAGCTGTTATGTGTCCACCTTGTACCTCTCGCAATATAACTCTGTTTTTACTGCTCAAATAAAAGAACAATTCACTCAAGAACTTGAAGTGTTTCAGAGATGACTGTGTGCTGCAACGTAGGCACCGACTGGCGGTTTCCTCTGCACAGCATGTATGTATGTGCCTTTGTTACAGGAAGTAACACTGATGTCACTTCCTATATGGTGGGTAGGAAGTGACATCACTGTGACCTTATGATGTTTTAGTTTGCTTCTTTTTCATCCGGGGCTGAATTTATGGAATCAAAGGTTTTGAAGGCGGGGAAAGGAGCAAAACAGAAGTGTTTCCTCTTTTGGGGAGTGGGGGCATAATGGTTGAAGGCTCTTTAGTTTATTTTCCATCTAGTTTTTCCCCCCTCCCCCCATAAAAATATTCCGTCAATGCATATCTTTGAATCTGACTCAGGATATTCCTGTGAATCTGCTTGTGAGTGGCACAGAGAGCAGACTTGACTTGACAAAATACTCTGCCTCTGCTCACACTGGGAGAGGAGATGGATTAGTTTCGTGGGCATTTAAATGCATTTAAGTGCATTTAATTTTCTTTAAATTTACTGCTGGGCTCATTTCATCCTTGGTCAAATGTCAGTGAATGGTGGGGGAGGAAGAGAGAAAATGGAGACTCAAAACACAGTGACATATCCTTTCATCGTGACTGAAGAAGCCTCGCCTCCAAAGCCCTCCACGGTCTTTCTGCGCCCTGCTAACGCCACATCAACCTGTCCACTCCCTCAATTCAGCGGGCTCCAGCCTGATGCACATCCCCTGCTCACCTTGACCCACTATCAGTGGTCGGGCCTTCAGCCTCTCTGCCCCCACCCTTTTGGAACTCTATCCCATAATCACTCTCCAACCCTCCCTGCCCTCCACCCCTCCTGAAACCAACCCCAGCTCGGGTCAAAATCCCTGACAGTCCAGCAAAAGGCACTGCGTAAATGTAATTTGTTGTTGAGATTCCAGCACCGACCTGTTCAGGTAGCCAACAATCCTCCAGGATGATTGCTCATTTGTTGTTGTTGGTGAGGCTTCTCCGGGTTCTGGCTGCCTAAAGTCACAACACCCCACAGTGATTACTTGTGAATTACTTTATCAAATGCAAGTTCTTCCTTCCTTTCTAATGAAAGAGCTCATAGGTGTTCATGTGTGTTCTTGTTTTTAGGTAGTTCAGATGCAGTGCAATATAGAGCCAGTTGATGAAGGAGCAAAGCACCATGTAAGTTTTCTCTCTCACTTTGTTAAATAGTTGATGAGCGACGCAATGAATTAAACTGAGCTAAAAGCATCTCCAGGTATTACACAAACAAACAGAGAAAAGAAATGGAGAAGTCGGAGTGCCAATTAGCTGTTAGTTACTAGTGTCAGCGAGCAGTGACAGAGTGGCTCTAAAAGTTTCGGTAAAGTGTTGGTGCCAATTCGACTAAAATCTCCGCGTGTTAAAAAGCTTTGTCGGAGCTTAAATAGAACTTCTGAGCTAGACTCTGGTAAGTATCAGGAGCCAATCACAGGAAATTTCCCATCTAGCCAGTCGGTCCCTGGCAGCAAGGTGTTGTTGGGAAGCTGGGTGATTTACATCTTACATCTTACCTGCAGAGATACAAGTACCCTCATACAATGCTGTTAGCACCAGACGCTGCCTATTGATGTAGCTAGGAATGTTTCATCCGCACCTTGGGACGTCCTCCCGATGACAAAGATGCTCTTTGTGTCTAAATTGTTGTTACTTTCTCATTTAATGGACTTGTGATGTTTTTCACATCCTCAGTTAACGTTACTCTTGAAACTGGAAGACAAGTTAAACCGACACCTCAGCTGTGACCTATTGCCTAGTAAGTTCCCTTTCTTTGTACACATGGATTTCAGTGATACCTGGGGCAGGGGAGAGGAAGAGGAACACGTGGCGGTGGGGATACTATAGAGCAGTGTGGGCCACCCATTATGGTCGGCCAACAAAATGAACTTTCTTGACTGAATATTTCTTGATTGTTCTGTAAATCAAGAAAAAAATGAAAACACTCTACCATTGAACACTTAGACTTGTCTGAATGTTTTGTGGAGGGGCATTCTTGTCCTGTAGTCCGTGGAGTCCTGTAGCTCAATGGTTAGAGCACTCGCCTCGCAAGCGAGAGACCTGGGTTCAATTCCAGGCAGGGCGAAACCTTGGGCAAGTTTCCTTACTCCACACGCCTAATAATAATCCAATAATCCCTCCAAAACAAACAATAATAAATTGGTCATTTTTAATCCACGACTGTTTGTGGGACACTGCTGTGCGCAATTGGCTGCCGCGTTTCGCCCACAAATATACAGTCAATTCACTTTACATTCTGTGAAGCGCTTTGAGACATGTAGAAGACGTAAAAAGCCCTATATCAAATGCAAGGATTATTATTGTTATCATGACAGCCCCGAGGGCCTCTTCTCGCCACAAGTTGCCACCACTGCCATAGAGTTTTGGTACAGTGATGGGGGTAGGGGAAGGTTACAATAAAATGTTCGTTCAGTGGTGTGCGTGTGTGTTGTAGGGTGGGGGCTTAAGCTAGAATTTAGTGCAGTGTTTTATGGGGCGGGGTACTCTAGTATTTTAGTTCAGTAATATGTAGAGGTGGTTATTATGGATTTTTAATTCAGTGTTGTGGGAGTTACTGTGGAACTGACGACAGGGATGGGAAGGGCATAAGGTCATCAGAATGTCAAGCCCGTCCTGTTCAATTTAATCCTTCTCGTTCTGGTCTCATTGTCCATTGTGATATGCTTACAACGGCAACTCCCTCCTTGTCAGCCTCGCCAACTCTGCCCTCCACAAGCTGCAAATCATCCAGAACTCTGCAGCTCGTGTACTCTCCCGTACCAGGCTAGTGACTCCCATCACCCTCGCCAACTCCACTGGCTCCCCATCCCTCAGAGGATCAACTTCAAAATCCTCGGCCTTGCCCGTCCTGAATCTCTGACATGCTGACCCCCTATCAACCTGTCCGCTCCCTCCGCTCAGCAGGCTCCGGGCTGCTCCACCTGCCCTACCATCGGTGGCTGGACTTTCAGTCTCTGTGCCCCCATTCTTTGGAACCCATCCCACAATCCCTTCACCTCTCTCCCTCTCTTACCTCCTTCAAGGTATGACTCAAGATCTTCCTTTTTAACCGTGCCTTCAGCCGCCCTCCTACCCCCTCTGCCCTCCCTCATCCCAATCCTGACTCCCACACTGCGTCTGATCCCGGGGACATCCTCCCAAAGTGAAAGGCACTTTACAAATGGAATTTTGTTTTTGTTGCTTACACCTTCAATATCCATCCATCACCAGATTCTCCATGGCCTGTCAGGTCTTACCCGTCTTGAAATCATAGAACCTTATAGCACAGAAGGAGGCCATTCAGCCTGTCATGCCTGTGCCACTCCCCCACTCTTACCCTCTAGCCCTGCCACTGCGTGCCTATCTCCTAAAACCATCCCTATTGATTCTGTCTCTAGAAGTAGCTGGTATAGGAAATGTCCGAGCCAGTGGTTCTTAGTGATCCAGTCTGAGAGCATTGACCAAGCTTGGCCATGAAATGCTCAGAATTGTCTTGTGAGGAAGTTAAGACTTAGAGAATTGTCTTCCCACCACCGTCTGGTTACATTGCACACAGTTTAAGATCTCCTCAATTCAAGTCAGTTACCTCTAGCCCTGGTGTGTGTGGTGTTGTGTGGTTGTGTGGTGTGTGTGGTGTGAGTTTCTGGTGTGTGGTTATGTGGCTGCAGTGTGCTGGGCCTGGCAATGACCTGTTGTCTCCTCTTTGTAGATGAGAACTATCAGGAGTTGGCGGCAGAGCTTGTTCAGCTGGGATTTGTCAGTGAGGTAACCTTCACTTTGTGCTTGACGTATCTGTAACACTGTTGGGCTGTTCTCTTCCACCTCCTCCCATATTCCTCGCCCTCATTTATTCCTCTCTCCTTAAGTGAGCCATGTTATTTCTACAGCATCAGCCACCCTCCAGCACAAATGGTCACTACCCCCCTAATCCTGACATTTGTCGAGCTATCTGACCATCAGTCCATTCTAAAACTAATAATAATAAGTCACTCAATCCACGGCTGTTTGTGGGACGCTGCTGTGCACAATTGGCGGCAGCGTTTCACCCACAAAATGTACAGTTAATTCACTTTACAGTGTATTCTGTGAAGCGCTTTGAGACGTCGCGAAGACGTGAAAAGTGCTACATCAAAAATGCAAGTATTACCTCTCCGACCTGCTTACCACCCCTCTCCCAACCCACTACCCGCTGCCTCAGATCGACTGGCTCCGGCCTCCTGCTTGTCTCCCGTGCCCTCCGACCCACCATCGGTGGCGGCCGCCCTTTCAATCACTACCCCTGAAACTCTAAAACACTCTTCCTCTATCCCTCCATCTTGCCCCCTCCTTCCCCATCTTCAGGTTGTGTTTGAACACCTTCCTATTTGACTATGTTTACAGTCACCCCCAACTCGGTGTCGTTCTCCTCCACTGACAAGGGCTCGAGGCACTACCCTGTGTGAGGAGCGCTGTGTAAATGCAAGTTGTTGTATATCTAAAGCAAGGATTATTATTTCAAAATAATAAATCAATTACAAAAAGAAAGTACATTTGCCAAATGAGCACTTGCCTTGCAAGCGAGACCTGGGTTCAATTCCAGGCAGAGGGCGAAACCTTGTGCAAGTTTCCTTACTCCACGCTCCTGATAATAATCCCTCAAGAAAAAAAAACAATAATAAATCGGTCACTTCAATCACGACTGTTTGTGGGACATTGCGGTGCACAATTGGCTGCCGTGTTTCGCCCACAAATATACAGTCAATTCACTTTACAGTCTATTCTGTGAAGCGCTTTGAGATGTCTAAAAGACGTGAAAAGCACTATATGAAATGCAAGGATTATTATAGCTCTAAATTAATTCTGTACCGAGGTGAGCAACAGGTGCAGAATCTCTCCTACCCTAACGCTGTGTCAGCTCTCTCTGCTCTGCTCCTTTCACACAGATTGACCAGAGCCGGCTGAGTAACCTGCTGGAAGACGCCTTCAACAAATTCATCTACAACAGGAATGGATCGCTCTCTGCGGTCACAGTCTCCTCGTAGCTGCAGGCGGGGGAGGGGTATAGGTCCACACAGCTTCTCCATCAACCTGTCTGAGACAAGGGGGGAGGGGGAGCAAGCCAACATGACTGGACGCCTGGCTCTGGCTCTATTGCATGTTGTAGTGCGGTGACTTTGTGAGTTCCCATCTACAGACTGTGGGCGCTCATCCCACCGTCAAAGTGTTTTGTTGTCAGTATTAATGTCCGTGTGCGCTTCACCCCGTCCGTCATTTAGCCATGTGTTGGAGAGCACTGCCACACTCACAATGCAGGAGGTGCCCTTGGTCCGAATAGTTTGGTGGGTGGGGGGGGGGGGAGGGGCGGGCTGGATGTGGAGGTGTCATTAGGGCGGGAGGGTGGGAAAGTAAGGTGTCTGCACATATTTGGAAGTATCTCTAGATACGTTATGTGAACTATCTCAATATATTGTATTGCTTTCTATTTATCACTGATGTGCATGTTTCTTCTGTGGTATAATCTCTGCACATGGTGACGAGTTTTTCTATGATGTGGGGCATGGGGTAAGAGATTGCCCGCGGGAGAGAAGACTTCCATTATATTTTAGGGACGATCCTTTCTTCCCTAATGGAATGATTTGTTTTGTTAAAACAGCCTTGTCTGAGGAGACCACAGGGCACAAAGGCAGAAGTAATCTTAAAAGTTTGTATATTTTTTTAAAAAGTTAAAAATTCCAGCAGTGATTGCATCCCAAACGATCAGTTTGGAAACTGGATAAATTGTGTTCTTGATCCAAATATTATCATTAAGGTCACCATTTTCCCACCATTTTATATTTCCCCATTCACTAAATGGCGTTTCTCAGCTTGTTACAGGTTTGTTGGGATTCAGGCCATGGTTTGCTTTAGTGAAGACTTTGCTTCCCCCCCACCCCTCCCCACCTCCTCTTGCTTCTCTTCTCTCCTTCCTCCGTGATTCTGACGTGGGGTTGTCAGCATCTTGTAAACCTATATCTTTGGGTGGTTGTCTGTTTCATTTTATACCGCAGCCTCCATCAGGCAGAGCGGTTGTTAACCCTGAGTGAGGTCAGTTGGCCAGTGTAAGTTGTTTTGCTTCCATCTTGTGCTAAACGGTGCATGTGGAATCCAGGCTGAGCTGGGTGTGTGGAGAGCTATATTCTGTGCGTTGGAGGCAGATTAGAGGGGTGACCTTTCAGGTGTGGGATGTTTTAAGCACTTGCTGCCTTTGGTCACTGTCTTGCCGTGTGAGGAAGAAAGGTGTATTTGAACCTAGGAGAGTTGAGTGAGCGGGGGATGACAGAAAGGAAGGAGATGAGGAGAGACTAATGAAGGGGTGAGGGCACACTCGGTCGACTGGACAATAAAATACTGGATTGTGGTCCTGTTCAAAGCCCCCTTTGTGTTCAGTTCTAAATATCCTGCTGTGAAAAGGCATTGCGTGCTGCTGTTTGTCTAAACTGCTGAGCTGTGACTGGAGACTGCAGGTCTCAAATTCCATCTCTTTAGTTTAAAAGTTGCAATTGGGCAGAATATAACATGTTCAGACAGAATAGCCATTCAGGCCGGAGCGAGGTGGGAATTTCAGGCCTTGTGATTTGCGGTGTTTCTCCCCACCTTGTGTTCGGGTACGGTCATGTTGGGGAGATGCAGTGAGTGGGTGTTGAAGGGCATGTGCATTTAGTGGTTGATGAGAAGCAAGTCCCTGTGGTCGGTAGACATTGCAGACTATCTATCGGCTGTGCTGGGTTACAGAGAGAGAGGGGCGGGGGGAAGAGAGAGGTGGGGGCGAGAGAGAGAGGGGGTGGGAGCAACAGAGAGAGAAAGGGAGAGAAATGCTGCATTACATCTTAAAATTCCTGCTCTGTGATTGTTGTTCAATCTGAAGCTTTCAGACAATCTATTTCAAACCTTGTGTCCAAATTTAACAGTCACAGTATTCTGTGCTCCATGTTCAATACGGGATTGAAAGCTATTTGGCTTTTTATAGACAGCTGACGTCCTGATAGTGTGATGCAAGTCGTAGGTGTCCCTTATGGAGTCAGAAGGGGAGTGTGAGGCTTGTCTGTTGTTTACCATTTTGATACAAAGCCCCCTTTTATCTGATCCGGTTAGTCTACACTCTTCACTAATTTTGCTTGTGAAGAGGAGCCTGTCATCTGCAAATTTGGCGGAGGAAGAGCAAGGATAGGAAACCCTGAGATAAGATTTATCAACGTCTAAAGTCTCTGATCCCCTCCACATTACTTCGTTCCCTTACTGCTGCTGGTTAGAAGCTTTCCCTGAGCTGCCACTGGTTACAGCGGCTCCTGTTTTCTCTGCGCGTTTAAGGCCTTACATAACCAGAGCTATAGTTCCTCATGAGTCCTGTTGGCCACAGCTTGCATGAGCGTACGTGCCTGGACTCTGGCTTTACTGGCGGAGTCTCTGTCCGGTGACTGCAGCTCTTGGTTGGGGGGGAGAACCCTGAGCTTTCATCTACGCATCGCCCAATTGTAACTGCATTATTATAGTACAAAAGCCATGAACCTTCCTGCTTAAGGGACACACAATCTGAGCGCAACCTCTGGATAATAAGGACTGGACTGAGTGTGTGAACTCTTCAAACGCTTACTCCCTCCCTCTCTCCAGTTAGAGAGATGACTGAGGTGGGCTTACAGCAGATCTGTGTGTGTTATTGTGTGCTCCATTTAGCAACTACCAGTTCAGCTTTTCTTTCTCTTCCCCCCCACCTGTAGCTCAGTGGTTAGAGCACTCGCTTTGCAAGTGAGAGACCTGAGTTCAATTCCAGGCAGAGGGCGAAACCTTGGGCAAGTTTCCTTACTCCACACAGAGCCTAATAATAATCCCTCCAAAACCCAAAACAATAATAAATTGGTCATTTTCAATCTACGACTGTTTGTGGGACATTGCTGTGCGCAATTGGCTGCCGCGTTCGCCCACAAATATACAGTCAATTCACTTTACAGTATATTCTGTGAAGCGCTTTGGGACGTCCTCCCGACGTGAAAAGCGCTATATCAAATGCAAGGATTATTATTATTATTATTATTATTATTATTATTATCCCCTCAGCCCCCCCTTAATCCCCCAAACTGCAGGACAGATTATACAATCACAGATTTAAAAGTATCTCGTCCTTCCACAAATGTTGCAGGAGTTTCCCCCACAAAATACACCTTCAGTCCACTTTACAATATATCCTGTAAAACACTTTGAGATGTCTCAACAACATGGTAAGGTGCTATTATTATTGTTATTATTATTGTTAGTACAAGTCTCCTCTCCTGACTGTTCAGCAAGTTATCGCTTGGATTCACAGACAGTCATACCAGCTGAAAAAGTTAATGCTGTTCTTGCTTCCTGCTTGTGAGGATGGATACCCATCAGCAGTAACACCCGAGATGATTGTTGAAGATTTGATTCCCTTGGGATGTTGATTGTTAATGCAGGCGAAGAGAAGGGAGGTTTGTATTTGAAGTGTGTGTGTATGTGTGAGAGTGAGGTGGGCGAGGAAGGTCAGTGTTTTTCAGGGTCAGTGACTGAAGCTGCAGTTTTGTCAGCCAGTGTGTGCGCAATCTGTCACCCCAGTACTCTGCATTATCCTGGCTGCTCTCCCCAGTAACTCTCCCCAGCTGACCAGCACCTTTCCCACTGCACTGCTCAGTGAGACACAACCTCCATCAGGTCAGCCTTTTATCTCAACTTTACTTTTTGAGTTTATCTAAAAAGGGGGGCTTTATTTGTTCCCCAAACATTCCCCTGAATAATTCCCTTGGTACATTTAGACCTTTTTAAGGTAATTGGTGGGGGGAGGGGGTAAAAAGACCAAACAAATCCCATGTTTTATCAAACACAGGAGCAACTGTATGTACAGTACACATCGTCACGCCCTTCCCAGGTCAAAGTGGGCCTTTATGGTGTGGACCAGAGCCATTTTGTGCCGGTGAATGGAATTGCCTTGTGGAACCTTCTCAATGTGTCCATGTTCTTTCCCCTCTCTCTCTCTCTGTATGCAACATGGCTTCTGTCTGTGAAAATGGGTCAAATTGCTCTGGCTTTAAATCCTCCTCTTGTCTTAATAATAATAATCTCTGAAATTCACAGCAGTTTTAAATGTCCCGTTTTATGTCCGGTGTTTTTTGGTGGGGAGCGTCAAACATTGTACTGTTTTGCTGATGTAATTGTGTGCTGCTATAGCTGTGCACACCAACATTTTGGTGGTGGGGGGGAGGGGGGGGGGAAGAGAGTTTGTGTAATGTCGCAGGAGACTCGAGGTGTTACTAGGGGAAACTGCTGAACACGAACGTTGATGAGATGGTCTGTGACTGGGTCACTAACAGCAAGGCTGAGTTCTGTCCGAGTCTTGTCTGTTATCACAAATCAGGGAGGGGGGGGTAGGGTGGGGGGAAGAATATCGCTGGTGAAGAGGGTGTGTGGTTGCCTTTCTCAGTGATTGTAAGTGCAGCCTTTGCACTGTTTACATGATATCAGTCTCTGAATGTGATCTCTTAAAGTGCTGTGATTTGGTCCGTTGTCAGTGGACAGCGAACCCATCCCTCGTGAGGTGTGTGTGTGTATACGGGGGGGACTGTACCAGCTCCTTATCACTTCCTTTGGCAACACTGACTTCAAACGCTCTGGGATCCTCTCTCTCTCTGGAACTGGGTGGTGTGTGTTTAATGACACCGTGAAAACCTTCAACTGGAAAACGAAGCTGAGTGTTTAACTGAACAGCGGCTGAGTCTGTCTTATCCTGTTGGACTGAGGGTCGGGTGAGTGTTGGGACGTGATGTGGAGGAGCCCAGAGTCCAGTCAGCTTGGACCTCGATCAGTTTGTGTGTCAGGATTACTCTAAGCGGCTGTCCCCAATGTTGTACAATTCCCCAGGTATCGCAAACCTCAGTCCCTTCCTTCCCCCTCTGTCGTCCTGATATCCCCTTCAGAGGATCCTTAATTCGACAGCGTTCATCAGCATAACTGCTCTGTGTCCTGCTCAAAATCATTGCAGCTCTTTTATTCGGTCAGTGCCTTGTGAGCTTATGTGTTGTGACATCGCAGGAAGATCAGTGTAAATCCCCAGAGTAGCTATTCCAGGGCTTATGTCGCCCATCCTGGCTGTTAGCTGTAGGGTTTGTCTGTGTTGGCTCCCAATGCCTATGGTTGAGCTGTTCAGGAAATGTTCATGATCTATTAAAGCCGATGTCTCCTCCCGCTCCCCCCCCTCCCCCCCACCCCTCCTGCCCCTCCCCGGGATATCTAATGTGAAGTGGCCAAAGCCGTCTTGAAAGAGCTTTCAGACAGTTGG